GTGCTGCTCGTTCAAAAACAGCCCGTTTCCCATGCTCCCTCCTGTTGTCCCTGCGCCCTGGCATGGCAGAACAGTCTGTGCTGTGAGTCCATGGTCCTGGTCTTTCAAGAATGGAGGTTCATGTCTGTAACTTCAACACTTAAGTGGTTGAGGCAGGAGGATTGCATCTTAGTTTAGGGCCAGCCTGAGCTACTTAGATGCTATCTCAAGAAGAACCAGGCTGGTGAGACGGTTCAGCAGGTAAAGGTGCTTGCCGTCCAAGCCTGGCAACCAGGGTCCAATTCCTGAGGCCCACCTAAAGGTGGAAGAAGAAGACCCCCTCCTCAGAGTTGTCCCCTAACTCTCCCCTCACACATACCCACATACATTCATCACTACCCCCAATACAATAATAAGCACAAGCAAGCAACAAAACAAAACAAAAACATGACGTCACCGCTATGTTACTAACAATGTGCAAAGACATTGAAATGACAAAGTGTGAAGACAGCTTATGTGTGTTCCGGGACCTGTTATGCATGAGGTGACTACCACAGGACCACCCCCGCGCCCCCCTTCCTCTTCTGTCCCCCTCTCTCCTTCTCCTAGTCCCATAGTGGATTCTGCTTCACTGCATCAAGAATTGGACCTGGAGCAGAGCTCAGAAATCTGTGCCCTTTATAGCACAGGAGAAGCAGAGACACACCGAAAGGAGGCTGGCTACCTCCTGGGGAGAATAAAATCCAGTAAAAACATAAGTGAGACAAACTTTGGACTTCAAACTCAGTTCTCATCTTAGGAATACATTAGCCATAAGCAACCACAGACACTTAGGAGTCATTCCACATACCCCTGAGAAAACCTGAAATCATCCCCCTCCCTACCTTTAACCTTGTTGTCTTCTTTAGGTTTCTGCTGGCTAGTTCAGCCCTCCAGCTGCCCTCAGGGCCTAGCCACACAAGCACAGAGCATCAGAATACGAGTCTGACGTAGGGTGGACGGTTGGTTGGCTTCCACCTACGCAGCGTGATAGGTGCCCTGCTTCCTGGCTGGAATGCTACAAAAATGCCCGGGGAACACTTCCCAGCCCCTAGCCCCATGCATGGCTGCTGCATTTGTGTGCACTGTAGTCCTGCGTTGAGACGTGTGGTGGGTTTTCGTTCCCTGCTCAGAGATTCGGGACAGTGTAAACAGCTGATGTTGCCACCTTTGTAGACACCACTGCCCAGTGGCGCAGGGTAGGAGAATGTGGTTTGAAGGCACATGGGCGTGCGCGCTGAGGATTCAGAGAAGATGGTGACCCTGCAGATGAAGGACCCTTACCTCGTTACTGCCAAGTCTTGGACCAATTGTCACCGAGGGGAATGAGATGAGGCAGGGGGCCATGTTACCAGAGAGAATGGTAAGTGTTTGTCACTTTGGGTCATGCGACAAAACATGCTATGGGAACAAAATCTCTCAGAAACGATTCATGTCCACGTTAACTTGGACTCAGAAGTCAACTCAGGATTCCAGAATAAGAACTGCAAAGGAATCTTATCATGTAAATCAATCATTTCTGTTTGTAAGATGTGTCTGTGGCAGTGAGCCAAGGACAGAGCCGACTGCCACTCTGTGGAGCCATCTTGAGTGGGAAGGGAATGTCAAATATTTTCTACAGTCTCCCAGGTCAAGTTCCCCCTTTTACTTCCTAACCCTTGACCCTGGGGTTGGGGCTCTGCAAACCGCACCCCTATACTTCCCTTGCTGACTGCAGGGTGGGAGACTAGCTAGCATCAGTAGAATGGGAGGCAGGCGGTGGGATTCTCTTTCCAACTCCAGGCCTCCATCAGTCTTCCTGTGGTGACAGAAAACAATGACAGTTCCTTTCCAGATTGTCCAGGCAGCTACAGCAGCAGCTATGGTATCCCTTGGTAGTGCTGAACTGTGGTTCCCTTAGTGACAAGCACATTGGACATGTCAGACCTGTCAGGCTTGAGCACCAGCTAGGAGTCTCTTCCCAGCAGAGGGCCAAGGTCTTATATGGCTTCTACTCCTGGAACAGCAAGATGGAGACTCTTCTCCGACACTGGCTTATGACAGCCTTGCTGCCGCCACTTCTGGATTTATGAAGGTGTTACCTCAATGTCCCTTTTTGGCTACCATTGCCTTCCAGCTTCTGAGTAATTCATTTCTTAAATCAACTTGCCTCTGGTTTCCCTTGGAAGGATACTATACTTGGTCCCAAGGATGGGTTTATCTACAACCCTGTAGCTCAGGTATGTTTTACTAAGACATCTAAGTAATATGATACTTCCTGTAAAATAGGGCCAATGTCACGGACCCATCTGACAGTCTCTGCTGCACAGTCGGTTGTGGAAGACAGAAAATGGCTCATAAAATACCAGGCACAAGCAGCTTTAGGGGGAAATGGTTTATTTTGGTTTACAGTTTCCTGAGGGTCTATAATAGTGGAGAAGGCATGGCACCAGGCTCAGGAAGATGGCTGGACACATCACATCCACCATCAGCAGACGTCATGAATAGTAAGGGTGGATACAAATCCCCAAGGGTCATCTTTAGTGGCCAGGAACTTCCTCTAGCAAGGCTTCACCTCCCAAGTTCCACAACCTTCCCAAACAGCACCACCATCTGGGGGAAGGTGTTTAAACAAGAGAGCCTGTTGGAAACATTTCACAAATAACCACTGCAGTACACTGTGTGTATGCGTGTGTGTGTTCACATATGCTCAGGTGCTTGTGTGTCTGCAGGTACACATGTATGTGCATTGTAGAGGGCAGAGGTCAGCTCTGGATGGCGTGTCTCACCTTAGTTTTGAAATCAGGCCTTGAACTGGCTTGGGACCTGATGAGTGATCTCATTTTGCTAGCCAGGGATTCCCATCTCTACTTCACCAGCAATAGGGTTACAAATGTTTACCACTACGTATGGCCTTTTTACATTGGTCATAGGGACCAAACTTTCGTCTTCATGCTTGCAAGAAGCTGAACTATCTATCTCATCAGCCTGATAGTCACTCCTATTTTCTCTCTCCCTCTGTGTGTAGGTCACAGCACAACCAACGGTGTCACACTTAGGAGCTGTGCACCTTGTTTTGTGAGATAGGCTCTCTCACTGGCTAGGGGCTCACTGATTGACTATGCTGGCTGGTCAGTGAGTCCTAGGGAACCCAACACAAGGCTTTTTACGTGGGTGCTGAAGATCCTACACTTTCTTACATGACAATTCTCACATTAAGCAAACTGGTATCTGAAAATGCCTGTTGAAAATCCATGCTAAAATTGAGCTGTAGTAGTGTGTATTTTTAATCCCAGCACTTGGGAGGCAGAGGCAGGCTGATCTCTGTGAGTTCAAGGCCAGCCTGGTCTACAGAGCAAGTTCTAGGACAGGCTCCAAAGCTACACAGAGACACCCTGTCTTGACAAACAAACAAAACCAAAAAAGAAAATCCATGCTAAACAGGGTGTAGTGGTACATTTCTTTAATCCCAGCACTTGGGAGACAGAGGCAGGTGGATCTCTGAGTTCAAGGCCAACCTGGTCTAGAGTCAATTCCAGAAAAGCCAGGGCTACACAGAGAAACTGAAAAATCAAAAAGAAAATCCATGCCATGTTATTTTCTAGCAGTATCTATTTGGGTAAAAGAAAATACTGCTTGAATAAGTAATTCTTCACTAGATGGCAATCACCACCAGTCTTGTGTTGGGTTCCATTGGTACTACCCAAGGGCAAATGGATCCAGTCACGTTATTGGATGACCACTATTTCAATCCTGTTGATCAGAACCAACTGACAACAGCTCCAGGTTTGCCAAGGGATTTATGTAAACTCTGGTCTGATGAGGATATTCTGACTGGATCATTCTTACACTCTGGGCTGCAGAAAGCTGCTGTCCCCACATGTATGAATTAAGATGGATCAGATTATACATCACAGCTGAATATTTGACACATTCCAAGCCTCATGGGGACTGGCAGGATCTGTTCCATGAAGTTGTTCAGACGTCATGGTCATCTGTGGCTCTTCTGTCTGTTGGAAGCATGGTCTGGAACCTGTAATCACCTCACAGTCAGCTGGCTGAAACTAGCTGTAGATTCTCCCAGTCCTCAGGAAGGGAGAACCAGAGCTTGCTGTTATAGTGAGCATTACATCTTGTATCTATCCCTTCCCTCTTAGGAGAAGAACTTCTGGTTGTTAGCAGGGCACAAGGCTGTGCCCACCTAGAGACTATATTCTAAGCCTGTGGTTAAGAAGTGGTCAGTTGTGGCTGGAGAGATGGTTCAGTGGTTAAGAACACTGGTTGCTCTTCCAGAGGTCCTGAGTTAATCCCCAGCAACCACATGATGGCTCACAACCATCCTCAGGGAGATCTGGTGATCTCTTCTGGCCTGCAGGCATAACACTGTATACAAATAAATAAATCGTAAAAAAAAAAAAAAAAAGAAGTGGTCAATGCACCAGATGAGCTCCCTCCCTCTCCTGGTTTTTACATACGAACCATCCCTACACACAGACGCCATCTTTCATCAAACGGTCTAAAGTGTAACTGTTATCCACTTTGCTGTTCCTGTTGAGTTCCGTCTTGTCAAATCATTCCACTAACCAGTCCAGTGAGGAACCAGAGTGGCCACTTCACAACTAATTTTGCCAGCAGCTCTCAACCTGTGGGTCACCACCCCTTTCGGGGTCTGAACAACCCTTCCGCAGGGTCGCCTAAGACCATCGAAAACCGATATTTACATTGTGATTCATCAGGGTAGCAAAATTAGTTTTTAAGTAGCAATGAAAATCATTTCATGCTTGGGTGGCTGCCACCAGGAGGAACTGCATTAAAGGTTGGCAGCATTAGGAAGGTTGAGAACCAATGTGCTAAATTCTTTCTTTGGCTGATTTCAAAAAACAACCTTTTATACATAAGAAAGGAAGGGATGTCTGGAGGCCAAACATACTGATTACCAGTAGTTTCTAGGAATCTTGAAATATACTAGCACAGACTGTGTGAATCAAAAGCACCAGGCCTTATTATTTTTTTAATACTTTAATTTTAGATTCCCTATTTTAATTTTTTTTGTATACACAGTCATTATTTCAAGTTGCTTCAAATCTTTTGTAAAACAAGAGAGGTTTAACATACCGGCGATGTTCCCCAGACTCCTGTCCAACAATAAGCCAGGTCCAATCGGCCCCACGTTGCACTCAGCCACTCACTAGTTTGCTAGACATTTATTGGGCACTTGTTATGGACTAGGTGTGGTGCGAGGTGCTGAGCGTTACTATGAAGAGGTTTCTCATGGAGCTCACAGTCTAGTGGTAAACTGAGGCACAGAGAGGTAAAGGACTTACCCACTGAGGTAGAAACAGCTAGGTGCTTGGGAAGGCGGGGTGAGGTGAGGCGAGGCGGGAGTGTGGGTAGGGTATGATGTATGGGAGCTAAGACCTTCTGAGAGAGCAGCGCAGCTGCACACAGAAACACATTATAAAATCCGCTCTCCCAAAGCGTGACAATGCTTTTACTTTCACCAGGACCAAACTCACGGCTCGGTGAACTGATCCATTGCCAGAGGGCATTTCTATACTTGTCCCCAACGCCTTGAGGCACGTCACCAATCTACTGGGATGCAGTGACTCCGTAGGCAGCTTAAAAATCAAGAAGTATCCAACTCCTATTGTAGCACTGGGAACCGTATTAAAATACTTTAAGTATGTGAACCTAAATATACAGCATTGTTTGTGAAACATCTACATGTAAAACTTTAGAAAACTCCCCCACCCCCATCCAGAGGGTTCTAATAAGTTATTGATACCGAAGAAGTAGAGAGCTGTCATTTTTTTCTATATACATTATTTTGGCTGTTCTAGGGCAGAAGTGTCACTCAGACATATTTCATAAGCAATCTAAACATGATACAGATATGTACAAAGGCGCCAGCCACATTTGGCCCTGTGTGTACACCTCACCAGTGCACGACACCTAACCACGAATGTGAGCCAGTGTAAGGCAATTCTTCTGAGAAGCAAAAACACCATCCATCAGGGAAGGGCAGAGTCCACGACCGTGGCCAGATGTCTGTTCTCCTGATAGCCTCCGTGATAAAATGATCTGTCTCACTGACAAAAGGCAGCCAAGAATTAGCGACAGCTAATTTTGAACGTGGAAACCATCCAGGGACCTAAGCAGGAAGCTACTCAGGGACACTACTGGCCTTCATGCTGCTACAAATCTAGAGTAAGAGAACGAGAGCACGCCACGAAGACTTATTGCTGAGGATCAAACCGGTACATAATTCATCCACGCAGGAGGCTCCACAAACCTTCACCACTCCGCACTGCTGTCAGCCACTCACTTTGAGTGGCTCTCACTGAGGAGACTCGTCTTCTGAAACGAGACACACAAAGAAACTGAGTGAAGGCTGGAACAGCAGCCAGGTGCATGATTCAACAATTTGAAGAAATGAAGTTGTCTGGTCAAGAACCTTCTCTCGCACCAGTGGTTGGAATGATCTTTTTAGGTTCACAAAAGAAATGGGAACCCCAGTCCGGGGTTGAAAGCACCTGCCAGACAGTGCAGACAGCTTCCTCTGGTCAGAGACTACCGGCTCTCAGGCTCTTAGTCACAGAGTTTTTGGAGACAGACTCTCACTGTGTAGCTGAGGCCGACCTGCAATTTGGATCTTCCTGTTTCAGTTTCCCGGGGGCTGGGGTTACAGGAGTGCACTGGTACACCCCTCACAGAGGCTGGAAAGATGGTTCTGTGGTGAAGAGCTTCACTGCTGCAGCCTCTGAGAGCACCTACACTCATGTGCACACACGTGCGTGTGCGTGAGCACACACACACACACACACACACACACACTTAGAAATAAACATAAATCATAAAAAAACCTTGAAGCTGTGTATTCAATTTACAGCTAAGATGTTGGATGGAACCTTGATGCTCCTCTGATGACAAAATGGGCATGTTTACCTTTTACTGGGCATTCTGGATGTCTGCTTTTAGATGGAGAGGCCCCTACTCCATCGGCTGTTTTACCACTTGAGTGGGTCTGTTCAACTTCACACAGATACACGTCAATGGGTCCTTTGGTACTTCTGATATGAACTGTGATAGAATCCTAGCAAGGGACACAGAGATCACCAAGGTGAACATGCGCATCCACTAACCGCAGTTTTCCAATTAACTTAAATTCTTGTAGCTTCCTTTCTACCATGTATTTGAGATAAGCATGTTCTCAATTGTCGCTGCATTCTAAACTACTAGTCAATTCACAGCAAAGACCGCTACTTAATCATACGGGCAACAACAGTCTTGGAGCTACAGGATGGACAGCCGAGGCCCCCTTCTCCTCCTCTGGTGGCAGGGAGTTCTGGAGTACCCAACTGTGTTTGTACACGGTGTTTCCTAACCAGTGCAGAGGTACTGAGGTCACAGGAAGGCTAGTCTTTTGTCCAGTGAAAAGATGGAAGAGGAAAAGATGAAATCAAAACACATCTCATGGAATCTGAAATGTCATACACAAAGAGAAACACTAGATTAAATGGCTATTATCCTCTGGCTTCAGTTTTATTTACCCAGGAGCAAATGCCAACGGTTTTCCCATAAGAAATTAAAAATGTGGTTGCTTGTATTTAGAGGCTAAATATGTAAGGGGCATTTGCAGTTATGGTTCCTTGTCTTTCCCATTGGAAGCTGGCCTAGCTCTCCTCAAGTCCATCCTTTCCACAGCTACATGGATAGGCCAGTCTAGATGCCACCATTGCTCCAGCTCCTTTGCTCCCTGGGATCTCATCCGAGTGAGCTGGGTGAGCTGTAGCTTCTCAGACAGGTGAGAAAGGCCAACCACCTTCGTGCTCTGAGGCTGCAATGCCAGGACAGGTTTAAACAGAAACCTTTTATCATTAAATAATTCAAGAAAACAATGTTGCTCCCGACTGGCAGTTAGCAGAAAGGACTTTAAATTCCACCAGCCACTAAGTCACTGTGTAAAGGGGGACCCTGGGGAACTAAGAGATGGCTCACAGGCTAAGGGCATGCTCTCCTCCCGTGGAGGATCAGCGTTCAGATGCTAGCACCCATGTCAGGGTGATCACAACCACCCGTAACTCCAGCTCCAGGGGAGACAACGCCAGCCAAGGCCTCCCAGGGGCATTTGCACTGAGGTGTGCACATACCCACACACATACACGTAAGTTTTCAAAATATTTTTAAAGGAGGACAGAGGAGATGATACCTGTTTCTGACTTTTCAGGCCACGCTGTCTGCCACAACTACTTGATTCTGCCATGGTGGCATGAAAGCCAATGGGTGATATCTAAACAGATAGCCTTGCTCCAACAAAACTATTTACAAGAACAAGTAGGAAACTAGTTCGAGTTGAAGGCCACAATGCCAGCCGGATACTAGGCACACAATCTCCACTAGAGCTGTACATAGTCAGTCTACTGATCCAGGACACTGCTGAGAACAGCCAGCCTGGAGGACCTCAATTGCAGAGCTCTCAATGGTACCGGGAAAGGCTCTGGGTGTGATCAACGGTTCATAGTGTTTTAGCAATTCTGGGCAAGCAGCTCAGAGTACTGGGAGAGCAAGCCCTGCTAATTCCTGTAGAATGGATTACCATGCCTCAAAGAAAAGCTGTCCTGCAAGATTAACGGCTAAAGAGTTTCAGTGTCCTTGGAATAATAACTCATCCTAAATATGTTACTCGAATACCTGTCTAAATCCAAATCAGACTAGGGAACGTCTCCAGGTCACAATCTGAACAGGACCGAGGGAAAAGTGAGTGTTCCTTCATGACTGATGATACACTGTCAGGTGACAGGGTCTCATGTGAACCGTGTTCTGCTGGGGACAAAAGAGGAGCATGGTGGGGATAATCTCTGCCACCACGATAATGGTGATGGCTGGTGACGAGCAGCGTGGGGGCTACCCGGCCGTCAGAATGCCCAGAAGGGCCGCCAGCTGTGTTTCAAACTCCATCCTCACCAAGTGACCTGGTGACAATCACTCTCAACACAAACTTTCCAGGAGCAGTTGGCAGTAGATAAGAAGGCTGGCATTACATGCAGGTTCTGGATCTGTGACTCGGTGTTCTAGCTCACTCTTTGGAACTTGAAGGCCGAGGCCAAGCCAATGGAGCCATTTCTTTTGTAGCTGGACAGCAGCAGCATGGCTGAGGGCACTTGCAAGCCAAACCCTGCCCTATGCCTGGTCCTGCTGCTCACCTGTGCTCACCTCCTGAAGCACACCTGCTTCTGTGTGCTTGGCTCTCTCCTCCCTAAGAAGGACATCTCACTCATGGTTAAGCTAACAGGTATGTAGCTTGACAAGGGCATAGGTGACAAGTGACTGCAGTGGTCACGGACTTGGCAGGTAACCCACCTCCCTCCTTAAATTCTTCCTGCAGTGTAGCACTACCTACTTCTCTGGGAGCTGGAACATCCAGTCTGGTTTCCTCTGGAGCCTTCACGGCAATAACAATCTGTTCGTGGAAGGCTTGGATGCTGTGGATATCCTGATAGGTTACGTACGCTAGTGTGAAACCTGGTCAAGGCTCTGACAAAATGGACACGTCATCACCCCCAACCCTGCCCCCCCTCCTTTTTTTGAGGCAGTCTCACTATGTAGCTCTGGCTAGCCTGGAACTTGCTATATAGACCAGGTTAGTCCTGAACTCAAGATGTCTGCCTTTCTCTGACTCTGAGTGCTGGGAATAAAGGTGTATACCACCACTCATGGCCAGATCACTATCTCTTACATAAATGCAGGTACAAGAATAGCTTAGCTTTTATGGGATGCAAACCTATAATGAAGGGAAACAGAAAAAAGCCCAAAACTTCAGGGTAACTACTACTTCAAAAAGAAAGAATTCTTAAGATTTTATGGTGTTTTATAGAACTCCAGCCTGGTCTACAGAGTGAGTGCCAGCTCCAAAGTAATACAGAGAAACCCTGTCTGGGAAAACAAAACAAACCCCCCCCCCCCCAAAGGGAGTATAATTAGAACACACAGCATACTAAAAGTTATTACTTCTAGAATTTTTATGTGATATTTTTTAGATCATATCCGATTGTTGGCAACAGAAATTACAGAAAGCAAAACTACACACAAAGGAAAGCATTATGCTCAAATTCCCACGTATGCTATATTCAGTGTGAATTCTCACTTATTGTTAAGAGTTTAGGCTGGGTGGTGGTAGCACACGCCTTTAATCCCAGCACTCGGGAGGCAGAGGCAGGCGGATCTCTGTGAGTTGGAGGCCAGGCTGGACCGACAGCCTCCAAAACAATACAGAGAAACCCTGTCTCCTAAAAACCAAAAAAAGAGTTTAGTGTTGGCTCTTACTATGGGAACCTGAGAAAAAAAGCATTCAGGGTTTGGGTAAGAATCCTCCAGAAGGCAGGAAAAGAAAAAAAAAAGTCCACAAAGCAGGAAGAACCCACAGAGCAAGCTCTTCTCCTTCGAAGTGCATTTCTGTCACCGAATGCCTTTCAACTCTTTTTACAATGTTGCCAGAAACCTTACACTCACTCAGTCCAGCGGCTCTTCTCGCTTTCTTCTCTTTAGATTACTGACTCTCTGGTTAGTTGGCTTTGATTTCCTAAGCTCTGTCCTGTGGTAATAGGATTTGACTGCCATGGAGAGTGGAGAGAGCAGGAATTACCTACACTCACAGAAGGCAGACCGCAGGACAGTCTGGGGGCGGGGTTGGGGATGGGGGTGAGGGGAGGGTGTGGAGGTGGGCAGGAACCAAGGACCAGGCTCTCCCAGTTCTTGATCCACAGCTTCCCTCATGGAGTGATAAGCACAGACACTATTGCAGTAGCAGCACGTTCTGCCTCAGAAATAAACTAGTTCACAAATTGGGGAAAGTCTGATTTCCACAAAAGTTGACAAACATTTTACCATCCAGGAAAGAGATTACAAAAAGTAAAATCCAACCAAACAAACAAAACACTCCTTAATTTAAAATGCAAGAGCAAACTGGGTATATCACTGCCAACCATTGTCATGCAGAATTGACCCAGGAGCACGGAGCGGCTACAACTAGCATGGATTGCTCTTGTATGTTCAAGGCTACAGAACTACACTTTTGTTTAACCTTTAAGGTCCTAATTTTATATCCAGGCATGAAAACTAAATGCCCAACCTTTCCCTAAGACATTATCTACTCTGGAAGCAGAAGTTCCACAAAGGTATGGGTGGAAGGATATCTTTCGTTTTCTTTATCGTCTGTTAGTTCCAACAGCTGCTGGGCGCAGTCTTTAATCAACTCGTCCAAGGCGTCTTCCATCGCTGACAGGTCCGAGAGCTCAGCCTGCAGCTTCTTCTGCTGGGGGGCCGCTCCGAAGTTGTTCAGGTCAGATCCTCTGCAGGTGAAAACAGACACCCAGTCAGCAGCTGCCAGGAGGGGAGCATGGCTGTGTGTGGAGGGAGTCGGCTAAGTGGGAGTGTCCGCATTTCCTTTTACACGGTCTACGTGGTTATGGCCGTCCTTCTTCTTTTCTTGGGACAGTCTCTCTAGGTAGCCTTGGCTGGCCCCGAGCACAGAGAGCCACCTGCCTCTGCTCTCTGGAGTGCTGGGATTAGGGTTCGGAACGACAGACACAGTACCCTGAAGGAGAATGTTCTCATCAGAGTTGCCTGTATTTTGTTCTACAACTGTGTCTCCAAGAAGCCCCTTTCTCTACCATTAGTTTAGTCACTGATCATCTTTGGGTTTTACGGCCTATTGTATCTCTCATGTACTCCCGTGCCGGAATCCCTTTTCCTAAGCATACAGCTTTTTTTTTTCTGTGCACACGTGGCTCTGTCCATGTTTCAGCCTCAGGCTTTCTTTCCACGAGATCCTTCCCAATCGTGTCAACTCTTAAGCGGACAGGAAGTCTTTTTACACTCAGGGCCGTGTGTCAGCTCACCGGCTCCAGCAGCACAGCCACGCACGAGGCCTGCCGAGAAGGCTGACATCTGCTCTGCTCCCAAAAGACGAAGTCAGAGCCAGGAGGGCCTGGGCTCCTGGCTGTGTACTACATGGCCCCGTGGGAATCATGTCTTCCGTTATTAGTTCACGCTAAGGAAGCACACTTTAAAAAGAAAAAATCCCCTCTCTTATCAGATGTTTCATTCTTACGCTCTTACGGGGAAAATCAGTTAATTAACCACCTCATTCCATTTAACTTTCCACACCATCTGAATGATACTCCACACCCAATGTTCCCACTTAGACCTCAGCAGTCCCATACATTTAAGCACACTGTGAGATAACAAGAAAACCTAAGGAATCAATCTTTGCCTAAGAAGGATCATAAAGACCTCATTTTCTATTCCCAAAGGCTGCTGCTGCTGGACAGACGTTAATGAGAGGGGGGAAGGACAGACATAAACTCACATCCACCGAATGTGGTTCTTGGACTTCTTTTCCACCAGCTCGATGCCATCCAAAACGTTGGTGATGTCATACACACGGCGTTTCCGGACTCCCAGTTTTGTGGCAACCTTGTTTAGATCAAGAATGCCCCCAGGGGCAGATCTGACAAGATCCATAAACTTTCGAGTTAAGTACACCAGCGACACATCGAAACGGGGCCTCTTCACTTTCAAAGCCTCTGCAAACGAGAGCACAGCGCCACGTGAACCGACATTTCTCAGCCTTTTCGGACAGCCACTTATTCCCTCAGAACCCGAGCAGACGGCGACGGAAACCCCTGCTAGTTTCCATGGAAACATTTCTCTAACTGGATAAAAGGCAAATGGTCAGCTGGTCTAAGCAAAGACATCGGGTTTCAATAAAGGCTGGTGTGAACCACCACTAATAACCATTTTTTACAAGTCCATATCCCTCCAAGAAATTTCTGTAACCAGAGCTGCACTACTTCTCAGAAAGAGGATTAGAAACGCTTTTGGAATCAGATGCCTTCATTTCACACATATAATCTGCCAACACACATTTGTATGTCATTATCTAGTTTTTGTTCATTTCCCTTTGGGGTGTGTTGAGGCATGAGTCTGGCTTCACAGAGGCCAGGCAAGAACCTTACCACTGAGCAACACCCTCCGCTCAGGTATATAGTTTTCTTCCCTTAATTTAAAAAAATATTTACTATATCTTATGTACTTATCCTCCATGCATATGTATAGTTTTAATATTAAAAATATTTACTTATCTTATGTGTATGAGTGCTTTGCCTGCATGTGTGTGTCTAGTGTCCACCGAGGTCAGAAAAAGGCCTGGGATCCCCTGGAACTGGAGTTACAGTGGTTGTGAGCCACTGTGTAGGTGCTGGGGTCCTCTGGAAGAGCAATACAGGCTCTTAACTATTAAGCCATCTCTCCAGGCATTCATACGTATAGTTTTTAAAAGCAAAAGTAGGAAGATAGCATTTTATAATACGCTTAATATCATGATCATGATATATGAATAAATGTATTTCATTCATTATTCCTTTTTGTTGCTTTTCAAGACAGGGTGTCTCTGTGTAGCTCTGGCTGTCCTGAAACTTGCTCTGTAGACCAGGCTGGCCTTGAACTCAGAGATCTGCCTTTGCCTCCCGAGTGCTGGGATCAAAGGTGTGTACACAGTGCCCAGGTGTGCTGCATTATTCTTAATGGCTGCATATTTAAGTGCATGGAGAATGTGCTGAGCTGTCCCAGTACTTGGGAACATGATATCGGATGATGCTCACGAGACATGCCAGACTTCATCATTCTCATTTTATACTCACTCATCAGCTAGACATTTATTGGGTACATTTTAGTCCTATTAGCGTAAGTTAAGCACATTCCCAGGATGTCAGCCACTTTAAAGAACAAATCTAATTGAACATCTCTAACAAGGGCTGCTGTGGGGACAGCTCCCCAAGTAAGAGCACTGCATGCGCCTGATAAAGAGCTCTGCCATAAACAGTGGTATGCCAGATGGTATTCAAAGTCACTGGAGAACATGGCGTGCCATCTTTACTGGAGTGGAGGACTGGGGATGCTCCTAGAGGATGCTGGGAGCAGCACAGAAAGATGAAGCCTGGTGCTCCCCACTCCAAGGAGGGACAAGGCAGCATCTGAGAACTGGACACACACGAGGGTCCAGGCTAGAGGGGAAGAGGCGGGAGTCCTGACTGAACTTGGGAGAGCCAGACTGGCAGCTGGAGGCACCAGTCTACACGGACAGGAGGAAGTCGCGGCTCCGGAGCTCTACGCATGGTACCAGAGGCCGACTTTGGGCGAGCTGCTTAACCTTTCTCGGTCCTCAGCCTACTCATGCATGATGGATGACAATCCACGGCTGCATTTTGAAGCTTGATCACGCATGCACAGATGTCATTGTCAGCTAGGGTGGGACAGTTGAAAGAAACACCTCAAGGGTCAAGCTGACCTAACTTGCTGACTGGCCACAGGGGAGATGGTGGCAGACGCTGAGGGAAACAAAAGATGGTTTGCAGGATCTACATATTGGCATCTGCAAATGAATGGAGTGCCCGTGATGAGAACCGAATCAAGAGGGAGTCCATGAAGGGGCCATGGATCACAAAGGTCATCCAACACCCTCCACATGAGCTATGGCAGCACAAAGCCAAGAAGAGTGAAGGGGCCACAAGGAACCATGTGGACACAAGGCTGCGGTGACATGCACAGCACCGCCACTGCACCGTGGGAGCGGGGAGGGTGCCACCCCTCCCACCGACCTCGATTTCAGTCACCGGGGTACCTACCCTTCGCTGCCACCTTAGTTCTGTTCTGTGACCTTGTGTATCCTCAGAAACAACTTTGTTGCCAGGCTACAGAGAGAAACCCTGTCTCAAAAAACAAAACCCAAAACCAACCAAACTAACCATGTTGACTGTGTGACATTCAAACTATAAAAGCCAAACCTACTTAGGAATCAACTTACTTCTCATGGACACATACTGCACATTTTCTTCTAGATTGATCCTTATTTTTGATGGCTGGAAAAAAAAAAGAAAACATATAAACTCAGTATTTTATAAACAGCAATGCAAATGAACACCCCCGCACCCTCATTCCCAAACAGGGTTTCTCTGTGTAATAGCCCTGGTTGCCCCAGATCTTGCTTTGTAGACCAGGCTGGCCTCAAACTCAGAGATCAGCCTGCTTCTGCCTCCTGAGTACTGGAATTAAAGGTGTGTGCCACCACGCCTGGCCATGATACAGGGTTGCTTTTTGTTTTGTTTGTTTGTTTGTTTTTTAAGGCCTTTTTTCCTCCTGAAGTCACAAGGGTGAGAAAAAAAGGGAGTCTTTCAAACTGCACCCAGTCTGTGACCCCCTCTAAAGACCCGCCGGGACTCGGGCCCCTGAGACTGCCCTCGCTTCAGTGTGAATGAAGGAAGGATGGTGGGTTAGGACACTCAAGTGGGAAACAATCCCTGACAGACGGCAGCAGGCGCTGGGCAGAAGATGGTAAAGAAAGATGGTTAGGACCTAAAAGGCCCCAAGACCTAAAAGGCTCGGAGAGGTGGACTCTATGGCACACCAGCCAAGGCTCAACACAACCCCCTCATTTAAGTGGCTCCAAAAACGTGCTCAGTCAGCCCCATTAATGAACAATCAGAAGCCTTAAAAAAAAAATAACAAGCAGAACAACTTACGGATAGAGAGATAAAAACACGGTTAAATTCCAAAGACAACCAGGCAACTGGTGGCAGCCCTAGTGTCAGACACTCGGAGACTACTGAAGCTTCATAAACTGGAACGATGATTTGCAATACACTGAGGACTTGTTTTTGCTCCCTGCCTAGGTACACGATATGGCCACGTGGGAGTGGCCCGGTTTTGTAGCTGGAAAGATGACCAACCTCATCAAGACCATACTGAAAAAGTCTTGTTTTAACCAGCGGAGACCCACCAAAGACAAGACCACACAACGGGACAGTGAGCTGGCTAAAGGGTCAGGGGTGGTGCAGCCAGAGTTCAGGGGTGGTACAGCCAGAGGTCAGGGGTGGTGCAGCCAGAGGTCAGGTGGGCAACAGAGGAGCAGCTCACACCAGAGCAATAGAGCCTCTGCAGATAATTCTTGTCACCTCTGACAAGATGGCGACATCTGGCAGCAGGTTAACTTGAGATGACATCATGCCTCAAAACCAGTTTAGGACAGTCTAGGGTTGAAATGGGTTGTTAAGTCTGCAACTCCGAAGTTGGACCCTTCTCCGGTGGGCGGGGACCAGCTCTCAAGCCTGCTGGCAATGGCATCCAACATTGGAACTCTGAAGCAGGCCCTGCGAAAGCTGACCACAGACGAGTGTGACCAACTGTCACTGCTATTTTTACACGTGACTCTTCTCCAAACACAGTCCGAGACAGGGGCTGGCTACGGGAACAAGAGATCTTTTTCCCTCTTCCATTTACGTATCTTGTGTGTGGGTGTGTCATGGTGTACATGTGGAGACCAGAGGGACAACTCTGTGAAGTTGGTTAGTTCTCTCCTTCCACCATACGGTTCTCTGGGCTTGAATCTGGGCTGTCAGGCTTGGCAGCAAGTGCCATAACCTACTGTGCTATCCTGCAAGGCTTTCTGAGAAAGGGTCGCACATAGCCCAGGCTAGCCTCAAAACCCAACCTGTCCCTAAGGATGGCTTTGAACTTGTGATCCTTCTGCCTCCATCTCTTGAGTGCTAGAATTGCTGATATGTACCCCAATGCCTGTTTATTTGGTCCTGGGGCTTGAACCCGGGTTCCCACACATGCTAAGTAAACAGTTTGCTAACCTAGAGCAGCGGGGCTGAGCTCTGCACAGACGCTGCCCATTTGCTTTAGGGGGGTGGCAGTTCTGCTTCCACAGGTTGGTACAGGGACAGCCCTGCAATGAGACATAAGGAAGGATGTCCTCCCCTAACCGAGGTCTGCCTGCAGTGACACAGGAAATAGGTCCCAACCCCATCATTTGCTTTCTTCCCTGTGCATGAAATCCCCCCTTTTCTGAAACAGTTCTTCTAGAACTCCCTGTGTAACTCGGGCTGCTTTTAAACATGCCATCTTCCTGCTTCAGCCTCCTGAGTGCTAGGAGCCCATGCGTGTGCTGCTCACCATGCCTGGCTAACACTCTGTGGAGCTACTGGCCCACCTTGCTGCCACACGGACAGAGGGCACACACCCCCCTCTCCCCAAGTGAATACTCCCAGAGACCTCAGGGCTTCCAGAGAACACCCAGCAGTCTGAGTGAGTTACAAATCTGTTCTAAGCTGCTTCCCTACTGCTCCATTCCCACGAACCCCGTGTCTACATCTGGGAGCACACAGGGCAGCATTACTATCCCTGGCCCCATTCCCCTTATATCTACAGCTTTTAAGTGGTTTCGGAATCTACTGGGTTTGGAGGGTTGGGGTAGGGACAGGACAGGATCTCAGTGTACAGTCCAGGCTGGCCTGGAACTTGCTGTGTAGCCCAGGTAGGCCTTTGACTCACCACCCTTCGGCTTCTGCCTCCCAAGGACTGGCATTACAAAGTAGGGCCACCACGCCCGGTTCTAAGTTTTGGAGAGAAAAGTGACATGTAGGCCCTGTCTCTAAAACGGTTAATTCTCTCTATGCAGAGGTTTCTCTGTACCAGCTCCCTGCGTGGGAGCAATGCTCCTTCAGGAGCTCAGAGAGCACCTGATGTCTCCAAGGTGACTGCATTCATGTCACCCATGCAGATCTTCCTTATCCAGTGTTATTTTCTCCCTGTTCCAAGCCCAGACCAGGCTTAAGCCATTTATCCTGGCAACCAACACCCAGAAAGACATGCAACTGCACAAAGGCTTATTAAACTTGGCATTTTAAAGTCAATTAAAAAACATTGACATGGTAAGTCACTATTTTGCGGGCAAGAAAATAGAGAGTCCTCACTTTATTAATGTCTTGCTTAACCTTTTTGTGCACAGCCAGATCTTCACGATAGCATGAAATGGACAGAAATGCATAAGCCTTGCAGAGAATGCTCTGGGGCACACAGAGGGTGACTAACAGAACAGCCTAGAGGCCAAGGAAGGGCTAAAGACACTTAAAGACAAGCTACCCATGAATCTGGACTTCAGACACCTCCATGACAACATGGAAACGTGTGCATGGGTGTCAGCTTGAAAAGACGAGGCTGTGGATGGAGCACGGAACCACAGAAGAATAATTTAAGAAAGAAAAGGCTACTGGGCCATGGTGGCACACGCCTTTAATCCCAGCACTCAGGAGGCAGACAGATCTATGTGAGTTCAAGGCCAGCTGCAGAGTGAGTTCCAGGACAGCAAGGGCTGTTACACAGAGAAACCCTGTCTCGAGAAACTCAAAAGAAAAACCTGGAGCTGGATTATGTTAGGTTTCTACCCAGTCCTGGGAGCACTAGGGAATCACAAGGGATTCCTTTGGCTGAATAAGATAATAAACACACTTTCAAGAGAGACCATCCGTTATGGGTGAAGTACACATCAACTGTGAGGGGTAGCAACAGTAGCAGGAAACCAGCAAAGGTGCCACTGTAGCACCAAATAGTAGCTGATGTTAATTAGTTCAGAGACTGGGGTGGAAGTGGGTGAGGGAGGGGCGGTTCTGGAAAAGAGAAAAGGCACCATAGATGGCCAGCCTGCTGGCTTGGGTAAACAGGGCAGGTATGGCACCACTGAGGGGGGGTGTGAGAAAGAGGTTGCTTTCCTAGGCAAGGGAGACCATGAATAAAGCTGGCTTTAGATGTAAGAATCTGACATCTGGAGACACTGCTCAGCAGTTAAAAGTGCTTGCTGCTCTTCCAGAGGCCTGAGTTCCAGTCCCCACCATGCACACGCCAGCTCATAACCACTTGTTAACTCCATTCAGCCACAGGTGATCTAACATCCTCTCCTGGCCTCTGGAATTTTTTTTTTCTTAAGTTTTAGATCTAAGTAGGGACATCTAACATACAGTTGGAAAGCTCTGGGAAAGTTGTGTGGGTTGGGGAGTTACCTGGAGGTGGCTGAAATCACCAGACTGGATAAGAATATCTAAGACTTCTGAGACTATTATCTTCTGATGCATCTCGAAAAGTTAAGCCGTGTGTGTGTGTGTGTGTGTGTGTGTGTGTGTATGTGTGTGTGTGTGTGTGTGTGTGTGTGTTTTCCAGTGTGAGCAGTTAGAGTATCTCTATGAAATTTTCAAGAAACCACCACGGTGACAGGCCACAAGTCGTGAGTAGTGAGTGAGTGATCACCCACAAGAACAGAATGGCACCCACGTGACTGAAAAGGAAAGAGAAGGGGGGGAAGGGCCCCACCATGGCCAGCCCGGAGTGAGTGGGTGGCTGTTACACAAGGTGTGAAATAGATACTAGAATGGACAAAACCGACAAAGCTCTCATTTGGAACAACGTTACAGAATGCTTAAGACCCAAGTCTCCAGCACAGTGCAAGATGAAACGGATACTGAGCAGAAACCACTTTTTTAAAACAAGGGAAAGAAATTAGGGAAAGGCTGTCACTTGCAGTCTTTGCCAGGTTCCTCCAGATCCCTCATTACCTAGCCACAGGCCAGTCACACAACTTCTGAGTCCGTTCTGACAAACTCTAAGAATAACAATCACAAGGTTAGTGTGAGGAGTCAGACCACGCTCATGAACTATCTGGCCCGGGACTGGCTGGCCAGAACCGCCTGGATACTGCTTGCCTTGGAGAGAAAACGGCGATCAGGAGAGGCGGACAAAGGACAGATCCGGCAGGGGCCCTGAGAACGGTGGGAAACCCAGAATGGAGGGAACTGTCGCTCTTTCATTTTCCCTGTCAAACCGCACAGATGGGCGGGCGAGATCGCTCCGTTGGTGAAGGCACTTGCCGCCACGCTTTACAAACTCAACCGGAGTTCCGCCCCGCGAAACCACAAAGGTGGAAGCAAGAAACAGACTTCCCCAAGTTGCCTTCTCATCTCTACACGCTCCCCGCGGAATCCACGCACCCGCCCGCAAAATAAACTGCAATGGAAATAATACAAGAAGCAGGGGGCGGTTCGAGGATGGGGAGCAGCAGGGAGAGCCCCGGGGTACCCAAGCCATAGGGTGCAGAGGGCCCCGGCGCAAAGAGCGCACCCCGCGGCACGTGACCCCCAGGGGTCCTGGCCCGCGCTCACCAGTAGGCTCTCCACGTTGATAGGGTCCCGGCAGCGGCGGCGAACCGTCTCCTGCGCCGGGTCCACCAGCAGGCTGGGCAGTCTCCGCGCCGGCCGCTGCTGACTCATGCTGCCCCGCGCCCCTCGCGCCCCACGCGCCCTCCCGCCTTCCCGGGCGGCTCGGCACGCGCGTCCCAGGCTCCGCCGCCCCTCCGGCGCCGCCCCGGCCGCCCGCTCCACCCACGGAGCACCGCGGCTCCACCCACGGAGCGCCGCGGTCCTACACGTCCAGCGATGCGCTCAGGCGCGGAGGGTACCCGGGTGACCGCGGAGGAGCTCAGGTTCCCGGGCCGGCCATCTTCCCGCATGCGCAGTACTCCGGCCCTTGCACATGCGCATCGCCCTCGGTGGAGCTCTCCCGCGCACACGGTTCCTCGCCTGCTGCTGGCGGCCCGGTATCCCGGAGGATGGATCCTCGGAGGGGATGGAAAGGGAGAAGAAAGAGGCGGAGCAGGGATTCCGGGGGACCGGAACAGGCGTTCCTGAATCCCCTCACTGCAGGTTCTCAGCGCCCAGGACTTTGGGTGATTGACTGTCGGGCCCCAACTAAGCATCAAACGATAACACATGCTCTTAAACAAGCCACTCTGGAGGGAACGGAAGACGCGTGCTTCCAAGCCCAGTGCCATAGAGGCTAAGACAGGGAGATCATGGGCTTGAATTCGAAGCCCACTGTGGCAGACTTTGTCTCAAAACCACAAAGCCCCCCACCATTCACCCCATTTTTTCATTTGCTGAATCAATTTTTGATTCCTTACTGTATCAGGTATTGAAGTGGGATCAAGAAGATACTGTTTTGAATGTAACAGACTGGATCTCAAAATCCCAGTGGAAGAGACAGATAAAACATTTTAACTGAAGGCCTGGGGAGATGGTTCTATTTTTAAGAGCCCTGGCTGCCCTTTCAGAGGACCCTAGTTCAATTCCCATCACCTGCATGGTGGCTCGCAACCATCTGTTAACTCCGGGCCCAGGTGGTCTAGTGGCCTCTTCTAGTCTCCACAGGCACCAGGCACGCACATGGTAAACAGACTTACACGCAGGCAAAAACGTAGACTTTACACAAACTAAACGTAAAATTTTTTTAAAACCTGGAGCCATAAGGTTTGTTTTCAAGTCATAAGGTCTTAAGCCAGTTGCTAAAACCTTCCTGTGCCTTAGTTTCTGAATTTGTAAAGTGGGGAGTTCCTATTGCATAAAGTTGCTGTGGCGATCACACAACTTGAGAGGTAATTTACTCAAACAGAGATGGGTACCTTTTTATTTGCTGGAGACAGGGTCTAGAGCTCTCTGCATTTCTGGCTACCCTGGAAATCCCTGGAACTCATAGAGTTCCTCCTGCTTCTGACTGCCATTAAAGGTGTGCACCACCACACTTGTTGAGACATATAGACCTTTAAAAAGATTTATTAAAAATAATTTATTAAAATATTTAGTAAGATTATTTTTATTTTATGTGCATTGGTGTCTGTGTGAGGATGTCACGTTCCCCAGAAGTGGAGTTATAGACAGTTGTGAGCTGCCGTGTGGGTGCTGGGAATTGAACCCCGGTCCTCTGGAAGAGCAGTCAGTGCTCTTAACCCCTGAGCCACCTCTCCAGCCACTATTCATTTATTTTTCTGTGTATGCCTGTGGGTATGTGCACATGAGTGCAATGCCTGTGGAGGCTTGAGGCTTTGGGTTCCCCGAGCTGATGGTGAATCTCTGAACATGGATGCTCTGGACCTCTTGGAAGGGAAGTAAGTGCTCTCTTAACTACAGAGCCGTGTCTCCAGTCCCTATGTGTTTGAATGAAAGGGTAACACAATGTGGAAAATCTGGGCTGGAGGGACACGCCTAAGTTGCAGGAGTGAGACCTAGGGCTTTGTGAGGGCAGAGAGGGCCTTCAAAGAAAGTTGGCTCCTATTAGATTTTACACATTGGGGGGTCAGAGGTCTTCTGTAGTCTTTGGATCTCCAGCATTTAGCCTGGAGCATGGCAGGTAGCAAGGGCTCATTAAATGCTTGCCAAAGATTGGTAGAGATAAAATCCAGCCTTGGAGAAGTTATCTCTGGGAGGGGAAGGGTGTGTGTGTGTGTGTGTGTGTGTGTGTGTGTGTGTGTGTGTGTGTGTGTATGTGTGTAGAATGAAGAGTTTATCAGTCACTAGGAGTCCTGGAGAGTTCCAGTGCTGGGCAACAGGCACGGCTAGTTGTAAGGTCCCTTTATTCATCCTCTGATGTGTGGCTAGCACTCCGTATGCCTTTGTTGTTGTAAACTTCACATCAGATCTGAGGGGCATGGCCAAGTGTGGTGGTGAATGCTCAGACTCACAGCCTCTGGATGCTGAGGCAACACCAGTGAATGTTTGAGACCAGCCTGGGTCACATAGTGAGCGGCCACGTCTTCTTAAAAATAATTCATCTGACTATTTTTATGTGTACTGGTGTGGAGGCTTCAGATCCCCTGGAACTGGAGTTACAGACAGTTGTGCGATGCCATGTGGGTGCTGGGTATTGAGCAGAACCACTGAGCCATCTCTACACCCCTGTGAGCAACCATGTCAAAAAAACCACCCCCTCCAAAAAAAGAAAAAAAAGGAAAGAAAAGAAAAAATAAAACTTCCACTGCCAGCAAAATCCTGTAGGACAGTTTTCTTTCTAATTTACAGATCAGAAAATCAAAGATCAGTGAGATTACAAAAATTACCCAAGGGAGCTAGCTAGCTAGTGGTAGAGACATGCTTTGATTCACACCTGGGTAATTTATTTTGGTATTTGGACCCTCTAGCAGCTTGTTGAAGAGTGACCATAATTTCTGTTGTCAAAAGGAGTTAGGCCAGAAGGAAGGGTGCGACAGGTGACAGGTGACAGGCACTCCAGGCCAATGAAAGAGCTTGTGTACTCATGGGGGCGGGGCAGGGGTACAGTCTTCCCCCAGTCACATAAAAATCCCAGACATGCTGGGCTGTGGTGGCACGCGCCTTTACTTCCAGCACCCAGGAGGCAGCGGCAGTCGGATCCTGTGAGTTCCAGCATGGTCTACAAGAGCTAGTTCCAGTACAGACTCCAAAGCTACACAGAGAAACCCTGATGGGGGATGTCCTTCTGTATGTATGTTTCTCTTATTGGTTGATAAATAAAACACTGTTTGGTCAATAGCCAGTTGAGTCAGGAAGGTAGGCAGTACTAGGAGCCGAGGAGAATTCTGGGAAAGGTAGGCAGAGAGGCACCGTAAGAGGAGACACCATGGAGGGACTAGGAGGATAGGGCGTGACAGATGTTCTCTGGTAAAATAAGGTCATGTAGAAATATATAGGTTTATAGAAATGGGTTAATATTTAAGACAGAGCTAGCCAATAAGAAGCCCTACCCATCAGCCAAGCATTTATAAATTAATATAGCCTCTGTGTGTTCATTTGGGGGATGAAGCGGCAGGACATGGTGGGACAAGAACCTTCCAGCAACCAAACCAAACCAAACCAAACCAAATCAAACCAAAAGAAAACAAACAAACAAAACAAAACAAAAAAGCCCAGACATGTACCCTGAGGGCCAAGTCATTCCTGCATTGTTTGAGCATCTTTTAGGTCAGGAACTGAAAGGATACCTAACTCCAACAGGGCCTTGTCCTGAGTACTAGGAGCTCCCAGGGTGTCGAAGATATACGAGCAGAAAGTGTAAGACATTGAACATGCCTAACACACCATGGCAACGCAAGGGAAGGAAACACATTGACCGACTTTGGGACGTATTCATGCATCACACTGCAAAGCAGAGATACCAAGAACAGTGAGTGAAGACTCTGAGACATTAGATGACGCACTAAAGGGTTTGTGGAGACGCAACAGATGTGTAGCCACTGGGTCCTTTGTGCTGGTCACTGGGGAATGAACATCTGTATTCCCTTCTGAAATTCATGTACTCGGAAGTGATGCCCAGTGAACTGGTTACTAGAGGTAGCCTTTGGGAGGCAACTGGGCCAAACCTCTCAAGAGTTGGAATGTCGTTATAAAAGACGCTAATGGGGGCGTGGAGGAAGATTAGTCGGTAGAGTGTGTGCCCAGCGTGCACAACACGTTGATTCCGTTTCCATCACCATGCAAACCAAGCGTGGTAGCACACTTCTAATCTCAGGCACTTGGGGGGGTGGAAGCACAAAGGTCAGGAATTCAGGGTCATCCACAGCTAAGTAGTGAGTTTGAGGCTAGCCTGGGATAGCTGAGACCTAGAGGAGGTCAGAGGGAGGACAGGAGGCAGAGAGACAGAATGAGAACAAGAGAGTCTGCTCATTTCTCTTATTTCTTTTGCTCTGTCACACTGGATCATGAGTCTCAGCATTGCTATTACCCAGTTGGGATTTTGCTAGAAATGCAGGTTAAATGGTCCTATCTAGAACTACCACATTAAAAACTCAGAGGGGTTGAGTGTACTCTGTAAGGCACTGGCTGTGTCCTGGTCTGGTCCTTACTGACCAAAAAAAAAAAAAAAAAAAAAAAAAAAAAAACTGGCTCCTGCTGGCTCGGTAAACCCCCAGTTCCCTAAGTTGTTGATACTTTCTTAAATCAAAGTCAAGTTAACTTTTCTGATATGATATTTTGGGACTGAAGAATTACAACAAACATGGATGGTGTCCTGGCTGGTTTTATGTCAACTTGAGAAAATGCCTCCACAAGCTTCAACTCTGGGATATTTTCTTATTTAGTGATTGATGGGGGAGGACTCGCCCATTGTGGGTGGTGCCATCCCTGGGCTGGTGGTCCTGGTCCTTTAAGAACATGCCACGGGGAGCAAGCCAGTAAGCAGCACCCTCCATGACCTCTGCATCAGCTCCTGTATCCAGGTTCCCGCCCTGCTTGAGTTCCTGTCCTGACTTCCTTTGATGATGAACAGTGATGTGGAAGTGTAAGCCACATAATCCCTTTCCTCCCCAAGTTGCAGTTGGCCATGGTGTTTCGTCACAGCAATAGTCACCCTGAATAGGACACAACTGGATGCATTCAAGAAGCATGTTGTAATGGACATAGTGCCCTTTGGAGACAGGGAAAGTGAATGGTGTTGAGAGTAACA